TCAGGAAATGGGCTTCCCTTTTCACTCTTCTTCCTGAGAAGTTTCAAGATACTACTGTTGGTCGTTTTGACGTAAGTTAGGATTTAATTTTTGGCTTATTTCCTCTTTTGTCTGCTTGACCTGCTCCACAATCCCTGTTAAGGCCTTTTTTCTAGTTGGAAACAGTTCAGGGTCATCTGTGGTCATTTGGTTTTAATTGGAAACTGTCTCTTTAAATTTTGAGGAGATTTGTGTGCATGCGTAGTAGAACCCTCCGAGGTTGGGGCTGGGCAGCCCACTAGCTCAGGCACTCCTATATTCACCAGAATGGAGGTGTGCAGACAGCAAGGGACCAATGAACAGATACCAAAAGAAAAGAATGTCCACACCTTTATCTCAGCGGGTCTGCCAGGCGTCTGTGGCCGCTCCGATCCTTTCCCCTCGTGGTCTCACCCAGGATGGCGTCTCCTGGAGCAGCTGAGCGTCCCGGACTAGAAAGCAATAGATTTCTTACTTCTGCCACGAATTCCCCCAGCTGTGAGCCTTCCAACCTAAGTATTCCTTTATATGTGCTTCAGAGTTCTGGGACCATCCCCTGAACCTGCTTGGTCAGGTGTTCTGTGTTGTTGTTGGCGAAGCTCTCTGCTATACATCCACCCAATCCGCCATCTTATTTGTTCTCCTGTTTATATTGTTTTAATATAGTCAGTTCATCTGCCTGTATCTATGATGTATTTGTCATTTCTGATTAATGACACCATTTCTACTTTTAGCAAATCTTCCTCAAATTGCACTTTACCTATTCTACAAGCTACCACTTTTAAACTCATATCATCATAACCTAGGGTAACCAGAAGACTGTCAGGAAAACTGAATGGTAACTTAGTTATTACATGTTAAATTAGTAGTTGATATCACTAAAGCACTATTTATACTTATTGCCTGAGTGCTTTTTACCTGTTCTTTAGATTAAGATGCAGGGCTTCCTGTCTTTTGGTAAATATAAATAACCTGGCATATCAGAACTGAAAATCATTTGGCCCACTTAATTACATGAATCCCATAGGATAGCTAGGATATTTTGAGCATTGTTCATTTAATCCTCACTGATCCCATGGTGTAGGTAGTATTATTTCTCCCCATTTTGTAGTTGGGAAGACCAAGACACAAGAAGTTAAATAAGCTGCCCATAGTTACCGTGTTGGTAACAGCTAGGATTCACTCTTTGTAGTTATAAAAGTTTAGGAGGCCAATTCTCAACAAAATAAAGGGAATGTAACAGTATATACTAACTTTCAATGAAACTCAACATAGTGACTGGTAGTACAAATTAACCTTAAAAGCCTCAGGATCTCTCAGAATTCAAAATGACCAATATCATACAGTCCTTTTTTTTTTTTTCATTGTTTGCTATATGCCAAACTTTTTAGTTTTAGGTTCTGAATTACCCAAACCAAATGCTGACACCTAAAGTTGATATCAGTTCTCCCTGTCATGTACATTTGTACCACATGGTGTATAGATCTTTGTTTTAATAATTAATTTATTATATTATAGTTTCTCATTTATACAACAAAATCCTAAAAGCCAGTAACCTAAGGAAAGAAACTGTCTTCACTGTCATGTTTCCCTGTTTAAAGGTTTTATCTTAGCCTAGAATTGTAAATTCAAATGCATTATAATATCACCGCTGTGGGATAATGCACTGGACTGAAAGGTTGGTTTGAACTGCAAGGTAGGTGGTTAAAATTAACCACCAGCTCCTCAGAAACTGTAGACAGAGTCACAATGAGTCGGAGTCGACTTGATGGCACTTAACATCAACAACAAGGACCTTCACAACTCCATTACTTTTATCTCTCTCCATACATGGTGCTGTGTTCTAGACATGAGGAACTTTTACTACTCTCCAAACAGGCCATCCCCTTTTCATGTTTTTTCTTCAAACCCACCAGCCCCTTAATGGGAGAAAAATGAGGATTTCTGTTCTCATAAAGATTTGTAGCAGGGTTGCTTTAAGTCAGAATCGATTCCATGGCAGTGGGTTTGGTTGCAGTTAGTTGGAATCGATTCTGTGACAGTGGATTTCTATTACTGGTTTTAGTTTTCAGAATATGGCTTTTTGAAGGTAGTCATTTGCTCTTGGGTTATAGGTGTATATGTAAGTTCTTAAGTTAGTTTCTTTGTGTACCATGTGCTGTAGGGAATTCACTTGTATTGCTAACATTTAGAATTTCTTTTTCAAAACCTATAGGATTATTATACCATTATAAAAAACCCAATGGATTTAAATACAATTAAGAAGCGCTTGGAACATAAATATTATGTAGAGGCTTCAGAATGCATAGATGATTTCAATACAATGTTCTCAAATTGTTATTTATACAACAAGGTATGTAAATTTTACGTTGTACTTGTTAACTCTGCTGTTCCTACATATGTATAAACAAATGTGCTGATTTCAGATTTTAAGTCTTGATCTGGGTATTTTTTTATGTATTTTAAGGAGAATAATCTTTTTCACTGAATTTTGTTATTTTCACATGTTAAAATTTACTCATTCTGTTTGCTGTGACCTTTCTTCCTGAATAGCTGTAATGGCTTGTTTTGTTGTTAAAAAACAAAATTCCAATGATAGCTGGTTCCTGTGAGTAAAGTGTTATTTTAAAATGTTCTCTACTGTATTACTGACACTTTAGTTCTAAGGTGCATGAAAAACCTTCCTGTATACTGCTCTTGATTAAATTTGCATGATGTGGATCCCTGGCCATACCTCAGAAGTCAAATAAAGTAAACTCTACTATGACATGTAGGGTTGCAATGAACCTGAGTCGACTCAGTGGAAACTAATTTTTGGTGTATGTTTTCTGTTTTATTTAAAATTTCATGACTAAATGATCAAACACATTCTTTGTTATATCCTGATATTAATACTTACATTCATGTTAGTCCATTACCCTATGTTATATAATAATGTCTGGAAATTCCATATTTGGTCTTTGCTTTTGCTCTGATCCATTAAATTATATTTGTATCTTCATTTTCCCCCATATTGTATTCCTATTTCCCAGGGTACTGTATCTTTTTCAGACTGTTCTATGGCATCTAAAAAATGTAAAGTTTAGGAGTCCTCGTGTGGCACTGTAGGATAAGCGCTCGACCATAATATTGGTTTGAACTGCAACATGAGCAGTTCATACTCACCAGCTGCTCCTTGGAAACCCTATACAGTGTTGCTATTAGTCAAACCAAACTCAACTCTAGGGCATTTAGCAACAATAAAAACAACATATCCCATTTAAAGCACTAGGTCATTTTATCATCCATGTAAATGTGAGAAGTCCAAGTATTTGCCATGTAGTTTATTTTATAATCCTGATATGGCATTGTAGGATAAGTACTTAAAACCCAACAGCTGCTCCTCATAAACCTTATGTTTACAGGGTTGCTATGAGTAGGAACCAACTCAGTGGCACTTAACAACAACAAAGCGACACAAGAAATTCGTACTGAAATGTAATAGAATTTTTGGTTGGTTCTCATTGCCACCATATAAAGATTTAAGATGTTAGCCAGTGGGAATTTGTTAAAAATCAGAAGACATGTGAACATCAAAGTACCTTTGACAACTTCATTTTAATTTAAAAAGTCCAAATTGTTCATTCATATTTAACATTTTAAAATGAAGTTGAGAAGTTTTCCTGAGCCTCTACCTTGTCTTTATAAATGCTTTCTGCTTTAGGCTATTACTTTGTAATTTACTTATTTTTTTCTCAGTGGTTAAAATTAAGTAAGAGGAAGACTCCTAAGCAGCTAGTTAAGGATTGACAACGAAATCACATCAAGTTGAATCATAAGATATTTTCATGCCATGAAACAGTTTTAATCTACTTGTGAAGTAGAAATTCTAAGTTCTAATACTTTTCCTTTAACTAGTAGGGTTGGGTTAATTGTTAATCTTCTGGTGCTTAGATGAGTATACTGGATCTTTTCTAGAAGTTGAATGGTAGGGTAGAATTTAAAAAGTGAGTTTCTTCATTATTTCCTAGATTTAGTTTTGATGAGATATGTATGTTACTTCTTCTATTGAGCAGTCTGAATTACAGAAATCTGATACGGTGACCGTAATGTATCATCCTATGGTATGTTAAATATATTTTCTAGCCTATGTTAAATATATTTTCTAGCCTGGAGATGACATTGTTTTAATGGCACAAGCTCTCGAGAAGTTGTTTGTACAGAAATTATCTCAGATGCCACAGGAAGAACGTGTTGTGGGTGGTAAGGAAAGAACGAAGAAAGGTAAGCCAAAATGTAAGCTGTTTCTTTTGTTGAAACACTATAAGTGAGTTTCTCTTATACACTCATGTCCTTCAGTATAGGGTCTAGCTTTAGTACACCACTAGAAAATAGGGCCAACAGGATTTTCTGGTGGGTTGTATCATATGTTTTAGGTTTGAGAGGGAGTGGAGTCAGGAATGACTCTGAGGTATTTGGCCTGAGCAATTAAAAGAGTACAACGCTTTGATTGAAGAATGGAATCTGACTAAGACTTTTAAAGTAATAGATGATTTTAAAATAAATGTGATCCAAATGTCTCAAGTTATGTATGGCATTAGCTGAGAAAATACAGAGCAGAACTTGCATAATTGTTCCTTTGACAGAATTATCTGAAGGACATTGTGATAAGAGGATCATGTTCATATCTGTTGTTCTGTGTCAGCCAGTGATGGATGATATATAACAATTTTGAAGACCATGAATATATGTGTAGAGAATTCTGGAAGCCTCTTATATTAGCATATAGTTTGTCTCCAGAGTATCTGAAATGCTTGCTTGGATCCACAGGTATATGAATTGAGTGTAAGCCAGGCATCTTTTGAATAGAATTAGTGAGGCTACCATTAATAAGAAGTGCAGCCAGAGTGCTCCTTGGAGGTCAGGATGGCTAAGCTTTGTCTCTCCTACTTTGGGCATATTGTCCGGAGGAAACAATCGCTGGAGAAGGATGTCATGCTGGGTAGGGTGGAGGGTCAGAGAAAAAGAGGAAGACCTCCAACGAGATGGATCGGCCAGGTGGCATCATTGATGGACTCGAGTGTGGCAGCGGTAGTGAGGTTGGCCCAGGATCGAACATTGTTTCGTTCTGCTGTGCATGGGCTCGCTATGAGTCGGTTCCGACTCGATGGCACCTGACAACAACAACAACACCATTAATAAACAGGTTTTGAAATCTCCAATGCTGTATGTAAATTGGCTCAAATTGTCAGCATCTATGGGAGGTGTCAAAGAGGAATGGGAGTTTGCTGCGTTCAGCTTGATAAACAGATTAATTAAGTGAATTAAAAGAGAATAATAGAGAAAATGATGTTAGTTTTATGCTTTACTCACTCAAATGTTTGACTCTGGTTCAAATTTTATTAGGCACACAACAGAATATAGTAGTTTCTTCTGTTAAAGAAAAACCATTCCCCAAAGCACCAGAAAAATTATTTAAGCAGCAAATGATTCCTTCTGCATTTCCTGATATGTCTATTTCACCTTTAATCATGACACAAGGAGCTCCATTCAACTTTACTTCACAGACAGTGGCCCAAGTAAGTTTACTGTGGTTTTTAAATCATTGGTTCCTGGAAAATTCCAACATAAGTTTAAATGTTGTGATATCTGTAACTCCTTTTAGATTGATATGAAAAGTGGTCTTGACAGCTATTATCTATACATTGTGTTAACAGTGACATAGGATACTAACCAAATTTTAGGGATTTGTAGAATTTGAAGCATTTAAGTAAATATGTTTGTAGTATTAATATCAGAAGTTGTCAGACTACATTATTTTCTTGTTAAAATCTATACTTTGCTATCAACAACTGAATAAATAAACAAATGTGGTACATACATACAATGGCATATAGTAAATGATAAAGAATAATGACTTTAAAATAATGATAAGGTCTATGAAAAACTTGACAGCACTTAACAACAGCAAGGTCTATGAAATATAGCAGATTAATTTGTAGGACATTATGCTGAGTTAAATAAATCCATCACAAAAGGACAAATAGTTTAGGATAACATGTTTATAAAAAGTCAAGAATAAGTTTATACACAATTCTTTGATAATTACCAGAGATGGGAGAGGGTGGGAAGGAGAATCGCTATCTAGGTAGCAGTGGTTGGTGGTTACATGCCGTGGAGTCGATTCTGACTCATAGCGACCCTATATAGGGTTTCCAAGGCTGTAAATCTTTATGGGAGCAGGAAGCCTTATCTTTCTCCTCTAGAACCACGGGTAGTTTCAAACTGCTCACCTTGAGATTAGCAGTCCGGCTTGTAACCACTACACTTGTAACATTACGCATGTTAATTTGGTAAAAGGCGTAAGACAGTACACAATATGGGAAAGTCACCCCAACATGACCAAGGTAAATGAAGACACTGTGAGACATAAGCAGGAATAAAGGACAACAGTGCTAAATTCCATATCACATACGATTCTGTGACAACTAAAAAATTTGAGTGTTACTTAGTAGGTATGTATGCTCTACAAGTTAGGGAGGGCATATGGAAGTACATGTGGATGCCTGTATAGGTATGGTTGTGGGCATTTGTATATACATATTTCTGTGTGCAGCATATATATTCTTATATATAATAGAGTACGTAGGTGGCAGAGTTAAAGTGGCAAATTCATACACCTTGTGGGACTCAGTTTCTGGGATCAAAGACTAAGGACCATAGTCTCAGGAGCATTTTGTTCAACTGACACGCATAGTTCATAAAGGTAATGTTTTATATTCTAATTTGGTGAGCAGCATCTGCAGTCTTAAAAGTTTATTAGTGGCCATCAAAGATAAAACTGTTGATTTCCTGTCTGGAGCAAAGGAAATGAAGGAAAGCAAAGACTCAAGGAATTAATTAATCCTCAAGACTAATGACCCACACAAACCACAACCTCTTCTAGCTCGAGATCAGAAAAACTAAATGGTGCCCAGCAACGTTTATGCAACCAACCTCTCTGACCAGGGACACAATAGGTCCCAGTTAGAATGGGAGAGAAACATAGAACAAAAATTGATTTAAAATTTAAAAAGGTCAGACTTAATGGTCTGATAGAGACTGAAGGAATTTCTGAGCCTGTCATCCTAAGACACCCTGTTAACCTGGAACTAAAACATCTCCCAGAGGTTACCTTTCAGTCAGATAATAAATTGGCCTAGAAAATCAGCAAAGACACCCATGAGAAACATGTTCTTTAGAGCACTCAAATATACAAGACCACATGGGCCTTGTTTGTCCAATAGCCAAGATGAGAAAGCAAGGAGGGACAGGGAAACTGGAGGGATGAGAAACCGGAAAGGCAGGGTGGAAATGAAGAAACTATTGACACAGTGTGAGTAGTTAGCAAATAATGTCACAGGAAGACGCTGTTGAATCGGACACTAATTTGCTATGTAAGCTTTCACCTAAAATGCAATGAAATGTTTTTGTTTTGTTTTTAACCAAAAAAAAAAAAAGCTACAAAGAAGAAATTATTTACCCTAACTGCTTTCAGTTAATTCAGAAACTTTTTTGATATAATCATGATTTTTCCTCTTACATTTCATTGGTTTTTCAAGGGTTTGTACAAGACAGTTCATTAGGGTATGGAAAGAAAATACTAAAATTATTCATTTTACGTATTAAACAGAAATTAGCCTTGGTGGCCCAGTAATTAACCAAAAGGTTTGAGTTTTTGAAGCCACCAGTTGCTCTGGGGGAGAAAGATGTGACAATCTGCTTGCAAAAAATGTACAGCCTTAGAAACCCTAAGTTCTGTCCTGTATGAGTTGGATTTAACTCAGTGTCAATGAGTGTTGTTTTTTTTTTGGTTTCATACTTAATGAGATGGGCAATGGTGTGTGTAAATTATATATAGACTTGACATAGGTAATACTTTTTTTTTTAAGTGATAGGTTAATGATAAAAATATATTTCTCTGAATATCACCTTAATTATTATTTTTGTTGTTGAATGGTTTTGTTTCAGGTTACAAAGGGTGTGAAGAGGAAAGCAGATACAACAACGCCTACAGCTTCAGAAGTTAAAGCAAATAGTGAATCTTTCCCAACTCTTACAGAAAACAAGATGGCGAAAATGCCATCCATAAAAGAAAATGTGCTGAAGAATGTTTTCCCAGATTCTCAGCAACAATATAACTTTGTGAAGAGTGTTAAAGTAACCGAGCAATTAAAACAGTGTAGTGAGATTCTTGAAGAAATGCTTGCAAAGAAACACTCACCATATGCATGGCCCTTTTATAAACCTGTTGATGTTAATGCTTTGGGACTCCATAACTATTATGATATTGTCAAAAATCCAATGGATCTTGGAACTATTAAGGTAAGTGTTATCTTAATAGGAGAAACTTATTTTCTTGATTATAAAAGTAACATCTTTGTTATAAAGAAATTAGAAAATTCAGAAGATAAAGAAAATAATTAAAATCACCAATAGTCATACCAACTGGAGTATATCATTGGTAACTTCTTAAACTATATCTTTATTCTCTTCTATTTAAACATATCCATGGTTCTTTTTGAGCTTCAATATGTTATACAATTCTATGCCCTGCAGTTTTACTTACAGTGAATATTTTATTGTTAACGAATTTGGTTTGAACCAAAGGTTAGCGGTTCAAGCTCACCAGCCACTCCTTGGAAACACTTTACAGGGTCACTGTGGGTCAGAACAAACTTAATGGCACATAACAACTTTCTTAATATTTTTAAATAATTGCCTAATTCTAATATAATTTTTTTGTTAAGATGTTTATGCAATCTTTAATCCCTTTCCTCCCTTTCTTTTTCTTAACTTCAGCTGGATTGATAAGCTTTCTATATGGCTTATTTGGAAGTTCCAAGTTATTGGAAAATATGTAATATGCATTATGATTTTAAGGGAAGCTACTAGCTAGCGTAGGAGCTCTGGTAGCGTAGTGGTTACGAATTGGGCTGCTAACCTCAAAGTCAGCAGTTCGAAACTACCAGTTGTACTACAGGAGAAAGATGAGGCTTTCTGCTCCCATAAAGATTTACAACCTCGGAAACCCTGTACAGAGTTGCTATGAGTCGGAACCGATTCCACAGCACATAACCACCATCACCACTAACAGAACAGAACTGTTGTTAGGTGCCACTGAGTCAGATCTGACTCACAGCAACCCTGTGCACAACATAATGAAACACTGCTCTGTCTTGCACCGTCCTCATGATTGTTGTTATGCTTGAGCCCATTGCTGTTTCCACTGTGCCAGTCCATCTTGTTGGGATGTCTTTCTTCTTTTTCACTGACCTCTACTTTACCAAGCATGATGTCCTTCTCCAGGAACTGTTCCCTCCTGATAATGTGTCTGAAGTGTTAGAGATGAAATGTTACCATCCTGACCTTACAAACATTCTGACTGTACGTAATTCCAAGACAGATTTGTTCATTTGTCTGGTAGTTGATGGTACTTCAATATTCTTCTCCAACAACGTAACTCAAATGCATCAATTCTTATACAGTCTTGCTTATTCATTGTCCAAGTTTCACATGAATATGAGGTGAATGAAAATAACCATGTCTTCGGTCAGGAGTACCTTAGACCTCAAATCTTGTGCAGTAGATTTGCCTGATGCAATATGTCATTTGATTTCTTGGGAGCTGCTTCCATGAGTGTTGATTGTGGATCCGAGCAAAATGAAGTCTGACAGCTTCAATATTTTCTTCATTTATGATGATGTTATTTATTGGTCCATTGGTGAGGATTGTTTTGTTTACAATGAGGTCCAGTCCATACTGAAGGCTGTATGCTCTTTGATCTACAAGTAAGTATCCTCTTTGTTTCCAGAAAGCAAGGTTGTATCACCTGCATATCGCCGATTATTAATAGGTCTTCCTCCTATTCTCATGCCATGTTCTTCCTCATATAAACCAGCTTCTCAGGTTATTTGCTCAGAATATAGATTAAATAAGTATGGTAAAAGAATACAACCCTGGCTAATCCTTTCCTGGTTTTAAACCATTCAGTATCCCTTTGCTCTGTTCTAATAATAACTGTCCCTTGGTCTGTGTATAGATTCCTCATGAGCACAATTAACATGTTCTAGTCAATAAAGCACAAATAAACATCTTTCTCATATTTTCTGCTTTCAGCCAAGATCCATGTAATGTTAGCAACGATACCCCTAGTTGCGTGTTCTCTTCTGAAACCATTTTGAATTTTTGGCAGTTCTTTGTTGATGTACTATTGTAGCTATTTTTAAATCAGCTTCAGCAAAATTTTATATCCATGTGATATTAATAGTATTGTTTGATGATTTCCACATCTCATTGGGTCACCTTTCTTTGGAATGAACACAAATATAGATCTCTTCCAATCAGTTGGCCCAAGTAGTTGTCTTCCAAATTTCTTGGCATAAATGAGTGAGTTCTTCCAGTGCTTCATTAGTTTGTTGAAAAATTTCAGTTTGTATTCCATCAATTCTTGGAGCCTTGTTTTTCATCAGTGCTTTCAGTGCCTCTTGGACTTCTTCCTTCAGCACCATCTTCTTGAGCATATGCTACTTGTTGCCTTATAATGATTGAATATCAATCATATTTTGGTACAGTGACCCTTCTTTTGATGCTTTCTGCATCATGCAACATTTTCTCCATAGAATCTTTCATTATTGTAAGTCAAGACTTGAAGTTTTTTATTCCATTCCCTTAGATTTAGAAATGCCGATTGTGTTCTTTTGGGCTTTCTAACAGCAAGTCTTTGCACATTTGATTACAGTACTTAATTTGGTGTTATCAAACTGCCCTTTGAAATTTTCTGTTCAGCTCTTTGAATTACTCATTTCTTCAGTTTAGCATAGCTTCTTCTGACATCCATTTTGGTCTCGTCTTTCATCCCTGCATTTTAAATGAGCACTGTTCCTGATGTCATCCCATAACACTTGTGGTCTTGAGTCATTAGTGTCTAATGCATCAAATCTATTCTTGAGATGGTCTCAAAATTCAGGTGGGATATATATGTACAAGGTCATATTTTTACTCTTCATAGCAGGGTTGACTTTGGCAAAATCCCTTAGCTTCTGTTTATCCTGGAATGTTTTGATGACACCATCGTATTTGATTGACAGCTTTGCTGGGTAGAGGATTCTTGGGTGG